GGACTTGCGTAAATGGCTTGGCCTTGCCAATTACTTACACAAGTATAGCGAGAATTACGCTGATATGGCTCGGCCGTTATCCAATCTCCTTAAAAAGGATGTGAAATGGTGTTGGCATGCCGAACACGAAGATGCTTTTCAAGCGGTGAAGGCGAGCCTTCTACAAGCTCCTATTTTGGCTTTGCCAGACCCTGACCGACCGTTTAGCGTCGTCTGTGACGCATCGGACTTTGCCATTGGCAGTGCTCTGTTACAATCAGATGATAAAGGCCGTGAGCGTGTAATCGCTTTTGAATCTCGCCAGCTGAAAGCTGCAGAAAAGAACTATCCAGTTCATGACAAAGAGCTACTTGCGATGAAGTATGCCCTGGTCAAATTCAGAGTTCATCTGCTGGGCTCAAAGCCTTTTGTGATCTATACCGATCATGCTTCGTTGCGCACTGCGACTCAGTCGCCGCATCTCTCGCAGAGAATGGCCAGATGGCTGTCATTCTTTGCTGAATTCAACTTCAAGGTGAAATATAAGCCGGGCAAGCAAAATGCTTTGGCTGATGCGTTGTCACGCAGACCTGATTATGAGCTTGCTCATGTGACGACGTTGTCGTCTTCTATCACAGATCTCATTCGTACGGCGTATGCTAAAGATGATCACTGTATAGCGTTGTTACATGCTCTTGGCAGTGAGGAGTTTAAAGACTCGGACATTAAATTGTCGGCACGATTACGTGCGAGCCTCCATCGATATTCTATCGATGAGGGGCTGTTGTACTATCGTACATATGTAGCGGATCCTCCGCGTATTGTAGTTCCTCATGACGAGGACCTGAAGTATCGTATCCTCTATGAGGTACATGACACCGCCATCGGTGGTCATTTGGGTCGTGAAAAGACCTATGGGGCAGTATGCCAAAGTTATTGGTGGCCCAAATTATACAAATGGGTGAGCACATATGTGCGCACGTGTGAAACGTGTCAACGGGTGATACCCCTCGCCCCATTCGGTAGCGCCGCTGGCTAGCTTGCCTATTCCCACTGGGTGCTGGGAGTCCATTAGTATGGACTTTGTATTTGGCCTACCGAAAGATTCGCAGGGCAATACAGGTATTGTGATCTTTGTTGACCGTTTGAGCAAGATGGCTCACTTAGCGGCTGTGCAAGATTCGATTGATGGTATGGGTACAGCGGAGCTGTTTATCGATCGGGTGTTTCGCCAACATGGCTTGCCAGTGGCAATTGTTTCTGATCGTGATCCGCGTTTTACGAGTAAATTTTGGAAGTCCGTCTTCCAGGTGCTGGGCACCCGTTTGGACATGTCCACAGCGGATCATCCGCAGACCGATGGTCAAACTGAACGCGTAAATCGCCTTGTTGAAGATATCCTACGCAGCGTTTGTGCTGAAACGCCTAAGCGTTGGAGAGCTATGCTCCCTGTAGTTGAGTTTGCTCTCAATAACTCCGTGCACGCCTCTACCGGCTACACTCCGTTCTATGTGAATGGTCTTACACACCCACGCGTTCCGTTAACGCTACCACCGAGTGGTTCAGGGCTTGGTGGGGGAGAGGTTGTCGATTGGCTTGCTGATGTCAGCCCTGATACTGTTAAGATACAGGTGAATGCGTTTCTCGCAACGCGACTAAATGTCTTACGACATGTGCAAGATGCAATGGCTGATAGTCAAGATAAACAAGAAGAATATGCAGATGCTAAAGGCAGAAGCTGTATTAATGATTATGAGGTCGGAGACCAAGTATTATTAAATGCTAAAAATCTACCTACCAATGTAGTATCTGCTGTCTTTAAGACGAAGTTGCGTCCGCGCTTTATCGGACCCTTTACGGTCATTGCCAAGAAAGGCACAGCGTATACGCTTAACCTTCCGCGCAAATTGCGTACACATCCTGTGTTCTATGTCGCCATGCTAAAACCTTATCGGGATCCGTTCCAAATAGACGCTAAGGCGCTCGCGCCGGGCCCATTGGCATTGTCGCGGGACGGAGCATCTGCACCAACAAGTCAAGTTGACCCTGCATTCGGGTCCGACTCTCTTCCAGGGACGCAAGCCGGGAGTTCATCGTCTGCCTCTCCTCACGAAGGGACCGCACCTCCTGAACAAGCTCGGCATGAGCTTGTACCGATACACCGGCCTCCTCCTGCTTTGCTCGATGCGCAGGGGAACCTGCAGTTCCACGTGGAGCGTCTACTGCAGAAGCGTCGCCGCCATGGCCAAAACCAGTATCTGGTGAAGTGGCGGGGTTATCCCGAATCGTGGAATTCATGGGAGTTTGAGACTCCCCTTCGGCAGGACTGCCCATACGCCGTGGACGTTTTTGAGCGTCGTGCGCAGGGTCTGCCTGTTGGCGCTGACGCTTCTCACCAGTAATGGTGAGGGTAGGCGGGTTAGCGGCCTCGGGCTGTCGTGAACTCGCGGCTACAGGGGTAGCCGAAACATTGGGCTGCTGGGTAGCAGGCGCATAATGCGTTCGTTGGGATTTCAACTTTCCCCGGGCCTTCAATTTCGCGTAATCATAACGCATCTTCCGCTCAAGTCGAACATCTGCCACATCAGCACTTGCCCGTAGGGCCCACATGCTGCGTAAACGTCGCGCATAATGCGCCCAGCGGCTGAAAGCCGTGTCTTCTTCGTCCTCGGTTTCCCCCGCGAAAAGAAGGATGGGAACACCCTTTATGGGAGGAACTGGCGCACCGCGCACTTGCCTGTTAAGGCGTGCCAAGTATTGGCTTTGTGTAGTAATGTGGGGTTCCAGATATCGTTGTCGAAGTGCCGTGCGCGTGGCAACATCCTCAGGTGAAATTGCTCAGTTCACTGGTCCATCCAGAAAGGGAATGCCCAGATGCTTCCTTTAGGCGTTCTTCCACCGTATGTGGCTTGAACCTGTACTGTCAGTGGTCCTGCAGTCTTGTCATATTCTTCGTCCGGCGCTTGGCGCCTTCCTCTTGGTCGATGGACCGCTGTTGCTGCTCGTCGAGTGGGTTAGTAACCGTCGCCGTTGATGATACGTCAGGCGGGTCACGTAACGCTGTTAGCGCATCTGCTGCACCACGTTCAGGGAACGGATTCGGTGCATGACGAGTGTCATCTTCACCCGTGAGGGTGGCTAAAGGGGACCCATCGGGTCCCACAAAGACGGTGTCACTTTCGTAATCAACCGCTTCGTCAAGGTCGTCTTCAATGAGGTCCCGAAGAGTCTGTGACTCACTATCGGGAGGCGTCATGTTATGTGCCGTGAACAAACCGTGAGGTTTTAAACGTTCGCTAAAGCACTACCTCTACGAGGAAAGATGTCGAGTGACATTCTATGGGAACGTCAGTCTGGTGGGGGAGGGTGTAACGGGGTTACACGACGGTTGTAGCGTCTTTCCGAGAGTTTACGCTTAAACTCTCCTTTCTATTGCATATAATGCATTATTATACTTCTCTTTAGAGAGGTATTAAGTATGAGCGTTATAATACGGTATTCGGTAATACCGTATCTTATCGATTGGGATTCGATAAATCACTAACGCTGTATTAAGTACATCATACACAGATGTTTAGACGATACGTCGTCCAATAGCAAAGTCTGCATATAATAATTACTATTATAGTAATTAATCTAGTGTAGTGTACTTAGAGTAGGACTATTCATAAAATCTTAAAGCATAAATAAAATCAGTTCTCCTTTTGAGTTTAAGATCGCAAGTCGTTCTGACTTGCTCTCTTGTGCACTTCGTGCGTTGGTTCTCTGAACCCCTAAGCTTCTAGCTTGTTCTTGCACTCTGTGCGTTGGTTCTCTGAACCTTAAGCATATTGCTTGATTGACTAAAAGTCTCTTTCCTAGTTCCTTAGAACAGGGTGACTTTAAGTCGTTTAATTAGTTCCTCAGAACTAAGTGGCTTTTAGCCTTCACTCTATTTAGTTCTCTAGAACTAAGAGGCTTCCAGACGAAAGTCTTCCTCTGGCTAAAGAGCTGTGTAGCGGAGCTACCTTCCCTTTGCCTCGGGCCACAGACTCATCAGGAACTCGAGGCAGCTTTCATCATGTCCACTGATGACTAGTGTACAGGCTTAGCTGAGATCTCATATATCCGACTTTAACATGCTCGGTGTCTTCCTCGTCTTCCAGCAGGCCATCTCAACGTTTCCAAACTCACTGTCAGTCCAGTCAAATTGCATTTGTTTGAAACAAGAGACTCTTGACAGTCTTTGGGCAAGCCACCGGTAGTTAAATTATTATATAATGAGACGCTAACCCGAAGTCCGCCTTGCGTCAAATCGTTTGGATGCACCACAACATGGTACTCCGTATTATTATCGCAAAGCATTACCAGCGCTCTATCAAGGCAACTCTCAGCTCTATCAAATGGTCGCGTGACGATAACTATCAGGATGCTTCATTCAACAAGTATTTTTGCGATGTGCGACTTACTTGGGCGCACCGTGATGGCTGTGGTCGACACTGCGCACCCGCACACAAGAGCAAAAAATAAAAATAGTCGGTAGAGATAAAAGTAGAAGTGGTGAAGTAGTGTCGTGCTATATAAAAAGACTAAGGTGGGGGCGGCGCACGCGCTCACCCCCGCTAACAAAAATTCTACTGTGGAATTACTCAAAAGAGCATTCCTGAACCCTTACAGCACCGGAGTGCAAGGGGCCTGCTCCGGCTCATGTCAACGCCCTCGTTGAGCAGCGTCAAACACCAGTCAGGTAAGTATGAATGTAGATGCCAGGATACACCATACTACTATATAACGATACAATCCTTACGTACAACTAACATGTTTGTTTGTAACTTTTGCCTTCCCACTTATATAGAAAATTCGCAGAAAAGCTTCGGGGTTCATCAAGTCGATACATTACGTTTTATTACGAGTTAGCGTAGTTGTGTCCTTCTATCACTGCTTTCCATATCGAAAAATTGCAAAATATATTTCTTGAAAACGAAGTGTACGACTCGAGCCGCGTCATTCAATTTTTTTCAGCGTCGACTCCCTTACTTTTTCTAGCCTTGGTGTTCTTGTTCTTTTTGACTTTTCGTTTTTTTCTCCGTCTTGAAGCTGTCTATTGTCACCTTAGCAACGCCATTCGTCGCGGTTCCGTTGACATTGGAATGTCCTGGAGACGCCACAGCGACATCATCAATCTTGTCGCAAAGATACGTTTTCAGAGCAATGACGGCGTCCTCCAGCTGCTTTGGCGTGTGCAGCGCCGATATAAAAAAGCGCAGACGACATTTGCCTTCCTCAACTGCAGGGTAGACGATAGGCTTCACGTTTATATTGTGCAACATATTATAGATCTTTGACTTACTTGTACTCCTTCTCTCTACAACTTGTCGTGTCAGTTCGGTGCTCGAATGAGCTATCTTTTAACGGCGGTGTGCAATTGTAGCTCGCAAAGTTTCTGACGGAAAGATTTATGTTTATAGCGAAGCGGCTGCCATGCTTGTCAGTAAACGCCAAACTTGTCGATATCTTTCTTGGCTCCTTAGTAAGCTGGAGGGTACTCGTCGGTTTGATTCTTTCGAATGGGTTCGGCTCATGCAGCAATAGATCAGCAGCTTTAGGCTACAAAAATCGATCACTTAATGTTGGAGCGCTGGAAACTGTGAGTGCTGACGAGGATGTTGGAGATCTTAGTAAGCCTTACGGCGTCGCCAGCTCCCAAATCAAATTTATGAATCGATAAAGGCTGATGAGCTTGCCAGGACAGCCATAGCTGCTAAGAGTGACGACAAATACAGCGAGCGAAGGGTACCTATAACGACGGTCGTAAGGGAAGATGGAGAAGACAAGGAGGAGGAGAAAGAAGATGAAGTAGTATATACAAAATGTATTTAGCTTGGTGAACTTAACTAAGCGACCCGCATGTCATTTATCTTAGCTTGTGTAGTCACCGCCGAAGGCTTCAAAATTCAGACGACGCAGCGTGTAGCGGCGCTGAAGTGTAAGCACGTCTAGTACACGTTCTTTCTGTTTGAATGCACTCAGCCAATGGGCCGCCAACTCGCTCACCGCACTTGCCTCGTTAGTTTGATGCTTTTGAGCCGCTCGGGCTTTGACCTCACGTCTCAGTTCATTGAACCTCTTTGTCTTGTACAATTGCGTCCAGCGGTTGACTAACGTTTTAAGATCAATGTCCTGAAGTAATGTCCGTGCTACTTGCGGGTCCGTGTGGCTTCTTTCGACTTCGAGCACCAACGTCCTTGCGGCTTTGTAATCCTCATCAGCACTGTCAAAGCGCGATACCAAACTAAGTAAATCCCCGCGGAGTCCATAAGCCTCAATAGCCTCGCGTGAACTTGTTGGTGCAAACTTCACAGCGATATCGCAAGCACGTAACGAATGTTGTGTAACTTTGGCATCATATTCTGACTTGATGACGCGTCGAGAAAGCGTTGCACACAGATGCAGTGCAGTACGCACATAATCTGGAATCTGCTTTTGTGAGGATTGAGATGTCAGCCTTAAGCTTACATCACTAGGTCCATTGCTATTCAATTGAGCAAGGTCGGTAAATCTTCCTCCCTCCAGATAATTGTTTTCAGTTGACGCTTCTCTCCACGTCACCATCGAAAATGACCACGACGATGCTACGTACACGAGTGCCAATTGCACCAAACAAAAAATCGCCACACCTGTCAGCACAAACTTGTATACTTGATACCGCGTTTTATTTCGTCGTAACCGTCTCCTTGTCTCAGGGTAAGCTCGTGTGTCAATAGCACAGTCAAATTTCTTCCGAAAGGCTACATCAGCCTGATGATAGTGCTCTTCCCATCTGTATATGCCCTTAGTATCTACATCCTCGTCCTTTTCTTCCTCTTCGTGATATCGATCGAATATTTCTTCCGTACTAGTGTCATCCTCATCTTCCTCACTCTCTGTATTCTCGTCTCTATTTTCCTCATCCGATGGCACGTAGTCACTGTCGGAATCTTGATCAGAGTCGGGGAACGTCATCTCACGAAATACTGAGACAAACTTTAGTTTCGACGACGTTAAAGCGTCAAGTCGGACGTGTTTTAACTGAAGGTCGTCAATTGTCGAGTTCGACTCGAACGGCCGGTGCTGCTGCTTGACATTTGGCAACATTGTATTTGCTGCAAACGAACAACAAGACGACGTTTCTCTTGAACTGAGGACTGAGTCTCGGCGGCTACTGCTAGACCGTCGAGCCTAATGAGCTTCGATTCCTGGCCTTAATAACGGACTTAGATCGAGTACTTCATACCCTGTCTCCACGCATTGTCGTATGTATAATATTTTGCAGTATTATTAGTATAAACAAAGTACTGATTTAGTAATGTACTGCATGTTTAAAAAAAATCTAGCCTAATTGGCTCGTCATCGCCCTCAAGCGATATCAATGGCTAGATAATACTGTCGTGCAATGAGGATGATGTCAAAATAGAGCTAGTCGATCTTTTTGTCCAGCATGGCGCAAAATTCGTGGAGTCAATATAACTGTCGTGGTCTGCATTTGCTCACGAGATAAGCTCGACTACATCTTTTACTGTCAAATGTGCTGTAACTTACGTGCTCTAATACCTAGTGCAGCATCTCGTAGGAGGATCCCCTTGTAAGTAGGTTGATTCAATTCCCTACATCAGAGATCTTGACTTTAATTGGTGGAAGAAGCGTTAGTAGCCGTTAGCTCTCTTACTTTACTAAGCACTAGCCGGACGTCCTTGACACTCATATCTATGCAGCTTGCAGTTGTTCAATGTCTCGCAGCCTTTTGTCTCGCCAATTACATACCCGAAGCGCCATGAGGATTTACTTTAGCATCATAAGCACCTCATTAACGTACTGAGCGTCGTTGAAATGGCACTGCACACACACATTCTGATGCAAAAACGAGGATCTTGCCACAATTGTTTTTGTTTAAACTCCTGACGTTTAAAAGAACTAGACAAAAGTGACTCGCATGCGACATGGTACAGGTCTTAACATTCCAATAAGGCCTGTTGACTCAAATTTAAAGAAGATACGACCCAAATTTAAAGAAAACACAAATCTTTCGAAAATAATCTAAAGCTACATTGTGACGCTTACGATTCAGCGATGACGATTGGCCCAAAACTAGAGAGAGAGAACAGATTGTCTATTTACTGATTAGTGCAAGATCTCTGGTAGGTAGTTAACCACACTAGCAACGCTGGAGGGTCCAGGAATTGCCTACGGCTGGCAGCACGTCTATGAACGCCGGACTGCCCTCTCGGTTCTGATATAAATATGTCGTAACATGCAGATAGTTGGGCTCCACGGACGGCTGTGGCCGCCCTGCAATGGAGACGTTTGATGAGCGCCCTCAGTTGGAGCTGAATCCTATTCCAGATCAAAGTTTCACTGGCTTGTATCGGAATAAGCGCATTGTTAAAAATCCTATCCACGCGAAGTTGCCAGAGCATTGTGATAATGACGGTCACTGCGACTTCCCAAATCGTCCTCCAGGCTGTGGCGAATAGATCAATGTCTTCCGGGTACCGGGCTAACAGCTTTGCTGTGACCTGCGGCGAGATGCGTGGTACGCTACAGTTTGCGCAGTGTTCGAGCCAATCCAGGAGGTGGGTAGGATGGTGAGGTGTACTCTCCCAATGACTGATAAGCCGGGCCCAGATTGTCTGAGCGCGGGGACATCCCCAAAAGAGATGCTCCTGGGTTTCCTTTTGGCCTACACATTCCAAATATGTGCATGATCCGTCCGGGGGTCGGTTTTGGTACCAAAAGTTTAGCTGTCCGGTAGCGTGTCGATATCGTGTCCATAGCTGGTATTCCGTTACCGCATGGCCGTGATCCCATAGCTGAGCCGGCGTGACATTTAAAGCTGTGCATTGCCACCGCGTATTCTGGCTCTTGGTGGCTAGCCGATCGATGACCTGCTTCAGCGGTGCTGCGAGACCGCGCTTTGTCGCCTGAAAAGCTTGTTTTTTCAAAAATGTGAATAGTCGATGGTTGGGGACCGTAGGCGGTGCGGACCACGGATAGTGGTGGATCTGTGGGTTGGAAAAAAGACAACCCCATGTCGGCTGAGCTTGCTCTCCGCTTGTTGGGTGAGTTCCTGCGATTTCCCTTTTACTAGCGGCGGAGCGCCGTCGAAAACCCAAGTTATGCCATCGTGGCATTGAGTGAGCTCCCAACTCTGAGGGCGATCAGATTCATCAGAGAGTGAAACGCCTCGAACCTTGCCTGGCCCGATCAGCACCCATGAGATGGCTTGCGTGAATGGTAGCTGTTGCCTTAGTCGCAATGGGCTTGGGCACCCTACTGGATTTCCCACGTCTAGTGGCGGCGACGAAAGTAAAATTATGATCGCCCATTCTCGAAGTTTCGCATGCGAATGGCGGTCTCTCTTAATGAACTACGATTGGCCCAAAACTAAAAGTTTACCCTTTCTCAAACGTCAAGTGTCCAAAGACGGGTGCAATATAAACCAAACGATCCGCCTCTTCTGTGATCACCCTCTTCTAATAATGTCCACCTTATTTACAACTACGATCGGTCATGTGGCCTTTGAAGTAGTAGCAGTGGCTTCACTAGCAGCCGTTGCAGCATTGGGTGCACGCTACACGAAGCGTAAATATGAACATAAAGAGGATTTCGAATCTTTACGATCGCGTAAAAAACAGAAGAAAGACGCTATTGTACCTAAAATTAATAATCCGGTGGTTGTAGCCAATGGAGTTAAGGTTAATACCGAGCCGGTAATTGCCGAGCTCAAACGTCGTGCTATGTCCAACATGTGGCGTCACAAAATCGTGTACACGTTTTTGGACGATCTGGGACGTGAAACAATCAACTTGAGCTTTGAAGATGTTGATCGAGCAGCACGTAAAGTTGCTGCAACGTTGCAACGTCAAGCTCATGTTATTAAGGGCGACAAAGTGGTGCTATGTTTTCCTCCAGGTTTGGACTTTGCATTGGCTTTCTGGGGCTGTTTGTATGCTGGAGTTGTGAGCATTCCAGTGTATCCACCTTATCCAGGGACATTAGCCAAGGATCTACCTCAATTCAACCGATTGGTCAAAGACTCGACAGCTCGAGTTGTCTTGACCGATACAACCTATTATCTTGCAAGCAAAATGGCTACAGTTAAAGGCTATTTTTCCGCAGCCAAGACATCGTGGCCGGATAATGTGCAGTGGATCACTACGGATGATCTACCGGACTCACTAATCGCGCAGTATGACGAGGAGGATGCACTTTCCTTAACTTACAACGAGGTTGCATTCTTCCAATACAGTTCTGGTTCCACGTCGGCTCCAAAGGCAGTCATGATCTCCCACGGTAATTTGAAAGCACAAATGAAGACGTGGGAGAACATTCTCCCTACGGACACGATGGTGAGCTGGCTGCCGAGTTACCATGACATGGGGCTCGTCGGATTTATCATTGCTCCGTGCGTCACGGCTGCGAGATGTGTGAGCATGTCGCCAATCAGTTTTATCAAGGATCCGTCACTCTGGATGCGCACAGCCAGCAAATACAAGGCTACGCACGTGTGTGCACCGAACTTTGGTTTCGCGCTTGCGGCAAGAAAGACTAGCGACAAGCAGGTGGCGATGATGGACCTGAGTACACTCAAGCATACTATTTGCGCAGCTGAGCCTATTCGTCATGAGTCACTGGAAGCATTTACGTTTAAGTTTAAAGCTGCGGGTTTTGAGCCCAACACGTTTAACTGTGGCTACGGGCTGGCAGAAGTTACTCTGGTGTGTACTGGACAAGAACAGCCGCAAAAGCCGACGCTACTTGATGTCAACAAGCGCGTGTTAGAGATCCAGCGCAAGGTCGCTGTAGTGAGCACTAACAAAGGGAAGCAATTCCCTGCCACGGATGTTCTGCAGCTTGTAGGCTGTGGCAAAGCCATGCCGACGTTTTGTGTTGTAATTGTAGACCCAAATACCAAGAAAGTACTTGACGAATTGGAGGTCGGTGAGATCTGGGTGCAGGGACCCTCGGTGGGCATCGGCTACTGGAACCGCCCTGAATACACAGAGGAAGTGTTTTGTGCACAGCTTGATGGCGCAAAGAATGTGAATACCACGTATCTACGCACTGGTGACATGGGGTTTCTCTATAAAAGCGAGCTCTTTGTGACCGGCCGTCTCAAGGATTTGATAATTATTCGAGGCCGCAACGTGTACCCGCAAGATGTCGAGGCATCTGTTGAACGCGCTCACGAAAACGTTCGTCCGGGCTGCACTGCTGCATTTTCCATCGAAAAAGGTGATGAGGAGGCTCTTGTTGTTGTCGCGGAGGTGAAGAATGGCTCTACACAGCAGACGTTGGAGGAAATTTGTCGTGAAATCATCAAGATGGTGCTCACGGAGCATCAATTGAAATGCGAAGCGATTGTATTGCTTCATCAAAAGACAATTTGTAAGACCACTAGCGGTAAAATCCAGCGCAGTGCCTCGAAAGCGCATTTTTTGAGTAACACACTCTCCAAGCCCGTGTATGAGTACAGGGCAAAGACCGGCAATGTACGCGAGTCGTCTTTTCAAGCACCAGCAAAATCGCTCGAGGAAGTGGCTCCATGTGGAAAGTTAAAGACGCCTGATGAAATTCTCGCATGGCTGCTGGAGAATGTGACGCGAGAGATGGAAGTACAGACAGCAGCTGGTGATGCTGGAGTGATGACGACGATCAATTCTGCAGATATTGACCCGAACACACCGTGGGCTTTGTTTGGGATGGATTCGGTGTCGATTGTCGGATTGTCATCGGATCTGGGAGAGTTTCTTGGGTGCATCGTTTCTCCCTCTTCATTCTTCCAGTACGATACACCATTTAAACTTGCTAATGCTTCCGGGTTGGCGTCAGGTGATTTGACTGAAGACCAGGAAGGAGGCGGCCAAAATGGCGTGGAATCGATTCAAGCTGCAATAACGGTGGAGGATATTGACACGAGCTGCTTTGATATCGAAAGCTTTCCAGAGGTTCAGGGGCTCTTTGGACAAATAAAGCAGTTCGAAAGTGCTGGATTGCCCGTACCCTTTCTGGAGACGCTCACGCCTGAAAGACGCCGCATGACAAATTTTAACACGTACAACTACCTTGGTAATGCATCGGATCCTGAAGTAGCGACTGCGTCGAAGGCAGGGATTGAGGCTTATGGCACGACTATGAGCTCATCCCCTATCGTGGGCCAGACGCAAGTGAATGTGGATTTGGAGACGGCACTTTGTACGTTCTTCGACGCCGAGGCCTGCATTCTCTTCGTCGGTGGCTGGGTGGCCAACGTCACAACTATCGATTCACTCGTCTCGAAGGGTGATTTGATTCTGTGCGATGCGCTTAATCACGACTCTTGTGTGAATGGGCAACGCCTCAGCGGCGCCACCATTCTACCGTTCCCGCACAACGACATTAAGGCGCTTGAGCGTATGCTGTCGAAATTGCGTACGAAGTATCGTCGTGTGCTCATTGTGATCGAGGGTGTGTACAGTATGGACGGTGATATACCAAACGTGCGGGAAATGATCCGCATCAAGAAGAAGTACAAGGCGTTGCTATTCCTCGACGAGGCTCACTCTTTTGGAACGATAGGAGCTACAGGCCGTGGTATTTGCGAGCACTTCAATTTAGACCCGAAGGATATCGATGTGCGTATGGGCACCATGAGCAAGGCTCTTGGGTCAGTCGGTGGTTTTATCTTCGGTTCGCAAGCGCTTGTCAAGTATCTAAAGCACTGCGCTGGTGGCTTCGTATTCTCGGTTGGCTTGGCCCCAGCTTGTGGTTCGGCCGCGTTAAAATCTATTGAATTGATGACCGAATCCCCGTCGCGCACAGTTACATTGCAGGAGCGAAGCAAATACTTTTACGACTTGTGCAAGAAGCACATGATCCCGATGGGTGCGAACACCTTCCGTGGTGCACCAGTGGTCGTAGTGATGGTCGGAAGCACTATTGCTACTGCTAAGATGTCCGAGTTCCTGATGTTGCACAATATAAACGTGAAGCCTATCGTCTACCCTGCAGTTGAGGAAGGCAAATGTCGTCTGCGCTTTTTTATATCGGCGCTGCACACGCCAAAGCAGCTGGAGGACGCCGTCATTGCTCTGAAAACGTATCTTTGCGACAAGATTGATGATGTCGCTGTGGCGTCTCCAGGACATTCCAATGTCAACGGAACCGCGACGAATGGCGTTGCTAAGGTGACAATAGACAGCTTCAAGACGGAGAAAAAAACGAAAAGTCAAAAAGAACAAGAACACCAAGGCTAGAAAAAGTAAGGGAGTCGACGCTGAAAAAAATTGAATGACGCGGCTCGAGTCGTACACTTCGTTTTCAAGAAATATATTTTGCAATTTTTCGATATGGAAAGCAGTGATAGAAGGACACAACTACGCTAACTCGTAATAAAACGTAATGTATCGACTTGATGAACCCCGAAGCTTTTCTGCGAATTTTCTATATAAGTGGGAAGGCAAAAGTTACAAACAAACATGTTAGTTGTACGTAAGGATTGTATCGTTATATAGTAGTATGGTGTATCCTGGCATCTACATTCATACTTACCTGACTGGTGTTTGACGCTGCTCAACGAGGGCGTTGACATGAGCCGGAGCAGGCCCCTTGCACTCCGGTGCTGTAAGGGTTCAGGAATGCTCTTTTGAGTAATTCCACAGTAGAATTTTTGTTAGCGGGGGTGAGCGCGTGCGCCGCCCCCACCTTAGTCTTTTTATATAGCACGACACTACTTCACCACTTCTACTTTTATCTCTACCGACTATTTTTATTTTTTGCTCTTGTGTGCGGGTGCGCAGTGTCGACCACAGCCATCACGGTGCGCCCAAGTAAGTCGCACATCGCAAAAATACTTGTTGAATGAAGCATCCTGATAGTTATCGTCACGCGACCATTTGATAGAGCTGAGAGTTGCCTTGATAGAGCGCTGGTAATGCTTTGCGATAATAATACGGAGTACCATGTTGTGGTGCATCCAAACGATTGACGCAAGGCGGACTTAGGGTTGGCGACTTATAATCGTTAGCGCGCCTCATGTTTCTTTATTATTTCATAGACGGTCAGGACAATTCTTGCATCAAACTCTTAGTCCTAGAGTCTCCTACTGAATAAGTCGCTTCTACTTTAGCCACCAGCTTCGATGTTGTCACGAGGTGAGCTCGTTACATAACATTGGCACTAATATTACGTGCCGATGCGAATATTGTTTCTTGCTAATATTATTTGAAAATAATATCTTGGAAACTACTATGGCCACAGACATTAAATACTACAGTACGACCACAGCAAACCTTCTAGGGCCACCGACAATATCTTGAATTTAAAGGTCGATAGTTTTCCAAAAAGGTGTTTTCGAAGAGTAAATTTTATTACAAACATTATGTGCGCCCTACCTGATCGGAAATGAGAATGGACAAGGGTGTAGTAAGCTGTAGTAGCTAGAAGAAGGTAAAATGAACAGTGAATTAATGTTAGCTAGGTGCTTAGTTCGCTCCGATGCACTACCTCTAAACCTATTAATATCGATACTACGATATTACTAACTAACAATGAGTCTAGAGGTGGTACCCATGAGTCTGGGTTGGGCAATTGCGTTTACCCACGACTTGGACTCATACCCGCGGGTAATTACTCATGTTACCCGCGCAATAAACATGCAGAGTTGCGGACTATTAAACAATATGAAAGGGAGAAAAAGCATTATGAAAATTGGTAATAAAAGTATCCACACTCTACGTCTCCCACTGGGAAGTTCAAGCGAGCTGACAAAGGAAAAAACTAGTCCCTTGCCGACAAAAAAACGTGACTCTGTGTCCATATCCAATCCTCGAGGCACAAAAGCCTCTCCAAGCTTTTAGGGGAAAGCGAAGTTTTGTTCTACCTATAAGTCTTTCTACCTTGAGAGAAACCTCTCTCAGACGGAGTTAAAGACGCGGGGATGGCCAGATAAAATCATGCCATCCTTGCAAGTGTCGGGAATTGCAGCTGATGCAGTGCTCATCGCTCCAATGGCAATTAGTGTATGTGAAAGGCGAAAGAGCAAAATAAGTCTGAGCTCTATCCTCGACTTTGCTCACTGCGGTCTGTAGAACTCTGCCTTCAGCAAATGCGAAGACGTCTGGCTCCATGTCGTCATCGCTCTTGTCGTTACAAATGTTGACAGGTGGCGGAGGCGGGAATTGTTCTTATGACTTCTGATGACTGTATGCTGCATCCACAAAAAGCAACTCAATTGCTTGTGGGCTATGGCCAAGAGCCCAAAATTGCTTTGGCCCTTCGTCGAGGTTTTTGAACCAGCTAATATTCCATCTTGGATCTAACACCGCCACAAAGAAGTTTGCATCCTGTTTAAACGCCAGCTTGATATATATTTCTTGAGTTTGCTTAGCATGGCCTGCGCCACCGGCTTCAGTTGCTTTGCATCATATGTGCGGTAGACTTTCACCAAAAAAGGCGTAATGAGTCATTAATACATTAAACAAGTAGAAATCAATACGAGCAGGTGTGTCTGATGTATGTCCCAAAAATTTGGTACATTTGCCCATGGGTACCCATGGGTAAGTTGGTTAATTGAGGCCAGTTACCCATACCCAACCCATGAGTCTGGGTATGGGTAATTACCCACTGAGTCTGAGTCTGGGTACCACCTCTAAATGAGTCGATGCTCATCGTTACTCACAATCTCGTTGTGTCGACTCTGTCATATGGTGGATGAATATAGAACAGAGTCTATATTACCAACACTTCCCTCGACTTGAAGTCTCCGATGTTGGCTTTGTCCAGTAGCGCCTCGAAACGCTTTTTTGAAATCGGCTTGGTAAGGAAGTCCGCAAGTTGTGACTTCGTTTCAGTGTACTTTGGCTCAATAATTTTGTTCTTACTTGATCGCGTACAAAATGATACCTGATGTCGATATGCTTCGCTCGACTTTGATAACCGTCGTTCTTCGCGATGGCAATCGCACTCTGGTTGTCCTCGTGTATCGGTATTGCATACTTGATATGCACTTGCATCTCCTTCAGCAAAACCATTGTCCATAGCACTTCCTGTACACATCACGATAAGGCCATATATTCTGCTTCTGCTGTACTCAGCGCCACGCTTTGCTGCATTTTCGACTTGAAAGTCACTGGTGCACCATTAATCATGACCAACCCACCTGATGTCGATCTGCGGTTGTCCTTGTTGCTCGCTTAGTCCGCGTCTGTGTACGCGCTTAATTGAAATTTGTCAAAATTTCCTTCATAGCATATTCCTTTGTCTTGCGTCATCTTCAGATAGCGCAATACTCGTATCGCTGCATTCCAGTGCTCTACGTGTGGAAATTCCAGGTGCCGGCTCAGCTGGCAAACTGCAAACGCAATATCCGGTCTCGTACCTGATGCCACGTAAAGTAATGAACCCACTAGCGACATATACGGTCGAATTTTCATCCTTGGGTCAGTTTTCTTCTTTTTGATCATAGTCTGCCCTTCAACACTTGAATTTGATATTGATCTTGAATCAATTTGATTAAACTTTTCTACCATTCTTAATATACATGATCGTTGGCTGATCTGCAGTTGTCGATCATCTCGAAGATACTTGATTTCGATTCCTAGAATGAATCGGACACCTCCCAATATCTTCATCTTGAAACGATTCGAAAGGGTAGCTGCGACATCATTTATCTCGCAAGTTGATTCAGCTCCGATCAAAAGGTCATTCACATATAATGCAACGTAAGTGCACGACTCTCCATTCCGTCTGACATATATACACGAGTCTGACACACATGGATATAAACCCATATCCACGAAGACACTTGATATTGTCTTGAACCATGTCACTGCCGCTTGTTTTAGTCCATATAAGCTGTGGTTCAGCTTGAGTACTTGATCATACCCTGATCTTACTCCTAGGGGAGGGTATATGTATACCTCTTCCTCTAAAACTCCATTCAAAAATGCTGTGTCGACGTCATACTGATGAATTAACATCCCACTTTGACAACATACCGCCAAAAACACTCAAATTAAATTGAGGCTCTTCACCGGAGAATACGTCTCTGTATAATCCATTCCGTACGTCTGCTTGCAGCCAAGTGCAACGAGACGCGCCTTAAAACGCCCAACTTCTCCAGTTTCGTTACGTTTGATCGCAAAAAACCCACTTAGTTCCGATCACCTTTTGATTTGGCCGTTGCACCACAACCGTCCATGTATTCTTCTCTTGTAACGACTTCAATTCAGCTTGTATTGCTTTATGCCACTCATCCTTTTGAGGTGACTTTAGGGCTTCGTTGTATGTCGTAGGAGTCTCAAGCGCTACACAGGCTTGTTCATATCCGATACGCAGTCGCTTCGTGCCTCGTTCTTGTAACTGCATATCGTCATGATGTACGTCGTCCCTTGAAGTACTCACTGGTACTAATGCTTGAGATGATCCACTTTGCGAATCATATGGTACCACTGGTGTCTCCCGGAAAAATCCATCAATCATGTCTCGACTCGATCTTGTTACAATTTGTCCTGAAGCTTCCTCGTTCACCACTGAATCATCTTCAGTCATAATCACATCATCAATTTCGAATAGAGGGTTTGTGCCGTACGGCTCTTCAATATCATGTGTCGAATTGATACTTGTTATTGGTCGATCTTCTGACGTCGTCATTCCATCTTGCATGTATATATCTTGACTGTTTTTCTTAAGTCTTCCACCTCGATTTCTTCGACTTCGCTTGAAATTTCTTGAGTAACGGATGTAACATCATCATCACATCTTGTGTGAAGATGTTGATCACTTGATCTGTTACAAAGTTGCACGAACTGATGTGGCGGTCGCTCATTGAATTTCGCTGATCTCGACTAAACTATTTTTTTTGCTTCTTCATCCCATACTCGAAACCCTATTATCTGATCAGAGTAACCAAGGAACTGACATCGAAAAGCCTTTTTGTTCAGTTTTGGTCCTTTTTGATTTTTCCACATGTGCATAGCCCTTCGCACCGAAAACACACATAGCCGATAAATCGGGTTTCCGTCCGTAAATTACTTCATATGGAGTCTTATTCTTATGACTGGCACATGGAACTCGATTAGTCACATAGAATGCTGTGTTAACTGCTTCCGCCCACCAAATCTTGTCCACTTGCATGTGACAGAGCATTCCTCTTGCTCGCTCCATTAGTGTTCGGTTCATGCTCTCAGCTAGCCCATTCTGTTGTAGAGAATATGGTACCGTCGTTTGATGCACGATTCCAGACTTCTGACAATTCCTGAAAATTGTCTGTTTACATATTCAGATCCATTGTCTGTTCGGATGCACTTGATTTTCTTAGACAGTTTATTCTCCATCATTGCCTTGTATTCGATGAAACGATCCACCACTTCGGACTTGTTAGTAATATAGTATGTGAGTATGTATCTAGAGAAATCATCAATAAATGTCACGACGATCACGATCCTCCTTGGGACTTTGTCTCCATAGGTCCCATAACGTCACTATATACGATCTCCAATGTAATAAGCTACATTACACATATAGTATTAACACAAATAAACAATTAAAATGTAGGCAGGTGCTGGGCCCGAATAGCGGGAACAGCGTGGTAATTAATTATTGGTTTATTATTGGGGCCTAAAGTCCCAATATGGACCAATGATAAATCAACCTGAAATTGTGTGGTTCCCGAAAGGCGGGAACACTGTCGTATTTATTACGACTAAAATCTTCGTAATTAGTACGAATTAAAACCAAAGTAAAAATCAGAGTTAAATTTACTTAATACCTAATACTTGGGCTTGAGTCTTCCTCGAGCGCGCGTGTAAGCTAGTGACGGTACGTTCTAGCCCCGTTACACCTGGTAGCACTTTGTAGTCCTTCCTATGCCCGAGTTTGGGATGAGCGAATCGTCGTACTTTGACGCTCCAGATTTATTTATGGAGCACGCGACCTTCCCCCATCTTACTGGTGTTGAGTGGGATGCCCTGAATCGCCTCGCGGCGATATCGGGAGAGGCATTCGTCGCGTTGTTGATGAGATCAGCGACCCCTGACGCGCAACATCTCACCATACATGAGTTTATGGCACGCGAGCTCGCCGAATCCAACCGGCGAGGCTTAACTCCCTCGCGCCCTTCACGTAATTAGGCCGTGAAGATGTAAAACTCTTCCTACCCAGGAGAAGGTAAGGACCGGTTGTCGCTGAATTGGTGATTTCGAGAAGTTGATACCGATAACGCCTCGAGACTTCTTGAGGCGCCCCAGGCGAAGGTCAACTTCCTTCTTCCCGCCTCACTAGGAAGGCCAAAGAGTGGGCCCTGGGTAATCTAGTTGTGGGCGAGCACGCATTCCCCACCTTGGATGCCATCCAGGACGATCTTAGTCTTGCCTTCGAGCCACCGCAAGAGGATAAACTGGCGCGATCAAGATTCCTGTCGATGCGACAGGGTAAAATGGCGATGCGCGACTACGTACAGATGGATAGGCATTTGGCGTCGTGTATTATCAAGCACCCCATGGACATGTACACGCAGGTAAATGTCTTTGTGGATGGTATGCGTGAGGGGCAGACCCGCTTATCGCTGGAGCGCGCCGAGCCTGCCACATTGGAAGAGGCATTTGCCATCGCACTCCGTGAAGACTTCAGGGTCACAAAGGCATATGCCAAACCCTCGATCGTCACCGTTCCCCGGCCTTCTGGTCCAGAACCTATGGAGATCGACGTTATTGAGTCGTCGGGTGACCGGCGACGTGTCTTTCATAAAGGTGACGCTCGCACCGGGCGTCAAATGGTTTGCTTTCGTTGCCGCAAGCCAGGACATCGCGCGGCAGAGTGCCGTGCGCCAGCGCCAATATCGGTGCAAGTAGTGGATGCCCATCATGAGGGTGCTGTACCGGCCGCACGTCCAAAAAACGGTCGGGACCAGTAGGTGCAGGGCGCCCTACTGATTGGAACGGAGGTCCGGGTCCCCCGGTGGCAGCCCAACCTTCCAGTCCTCCTGCGCTACGCGCACGGTTAAATTCCACCACCACGAGTGGTGATTCACGTCTGATTATTGTCAGTTTACATGTCGCCGGCGTCCGGCGACCTCTGCGAGCACTCCTGGACTCAGGAGCAACAAACAATCTCTTTCGTGAATCTTGTTTATCGATGCTGCCTCCCAGCATTCAGGTCCGTGAGGGACCTGTCCAAGTCGTCGTCAAGTTGGCTGACGGGAAACCACACCGCGTATCGCGGCGCGAAGTGTCGTTGCCGTATACGTTTGATGGCTTTCGCAGTAATGATGATTTCTTGGTGATCGCAATGAATTATGCATTCGATTGCATACTGGGCATGCCATGGTTGGCACGTTATAAGCCCCAGATCGACTGGTTAGACAGATCAGTGAGACGTCAACGCAAGTTCGATGTCAGTGCAGTGTTTACCCATCACTTGGTATCTCCAAGTGACTGGCCGAACGTCACAGTCGTGGATCGTGATTCCACGACGTTGGCGGTGCACAGAGCGAGCGATGGCCCTCTCTGCACTGCTTGTGCTGTCCTTCGGGACACAAGTGACAGTGACTCCTCGCTACAGAGCGAAGAGGACGACGAGGACGACGCGGTCGAACAGGGGTTCCCGCGCGTCATTAATGCGGTTGAACAGGGGTTCCCGCACGTGAATGCAGTGGTTGAACCGGGGTTCCCATCTTCACCTACTGTGGTCGAGCAGGGGCTCCCACAAGGGCATTGTGACAACGAGCAAGAGCTCGCCAATGAGTGTGACGTGGACGGACAGGAGTCCCCACGCGAGAGCATGATGGTCGAACCGGGGTTCCCATCATCACCCATTGTGGTCAAATCGAAGTTCCCACATGGGCATATTGTGGTCGAGCAGGGGCTCTCACACAAGTACAACGTGAGCGGACAGGAGTCCCCACGCGAGAGCATGATGGTCGAACCGGGGTTCCCATCATCACCCATTGTGGTCAAACCGAAGTTCCCACATGGGCATATTGTGGTTGAGCAGGGGCTCCCACACGGGTTTACGGCGGCCGAGTTGGAGCTCCCGCATTAAGTGTCGACGGTCGAGTTTGGGCTACCTCGTCTAGCGTTTCCGTCATTGCGAATGAGGACATCCAGCGCCTAAAGGGGGACGATGGTATATCACCTGACTGCGGTTCGCCAGCTTCGAGTAGCGACTCGAAGCACGATGGGGGCAACAGCATCGAAAATTTAGCGTTGGAATGTGTCCACGCTATCGTGTACGTGGAAGGGAGTCCACAAAGGCGCCAATATATCAAAGTCGAGAGTCCTCCTCGTCATGCGTCTTCCATTACAATCCTTCCAGGTCTTTCCTGGAAGCATTTCCTACGTGACCTTAAGGGAGGCACTGTGGAACAAGTGTGTCTAATCACCAACGAGGTGGTTACCGTGGCAAACGAGGAGCATATGGCGCGTCCTCGAAGCGCTGAGCCGAAGTCAGCGCGTAAAAAGAAAGGTTTGCATCACAGTCATGGGATGATCTGCGATAGTCTGGTAACCCTGTCTACGACTTGCTCGTGAGTATGCAGACGTGTTCCCGGACAAGATCCCGTCTGAACTTCCTGCGGACCGTGGTGTTCGGCACGAGATTGATCTCGTGCCAGGGTCGAAGTATCGTGTAACACGGCAGTGGCCGTTGCCTCGAGATCAAGTCGAAGCTATTGACGCATTCTTCGAAGGCCGCCGCAAAGCGGGTCATGTGCGTGAGAGTATCTCACCACATTCGAGTCCAACCTTCTTCGTGAAGAAGGCTACGGGAGGCTGGCCGATAGTGCATGCGTTAAATAAGTTGAATGATGCCACTATTCCTGCGCAAACGCCAATTCCCAGGAAGGACATGGTGCTAAATTCCATGTCAGGAAGTGTCATCTTCAGTGTCATCAACTTGACCGATGGCTTTTACCAGATTCTAATGCGACCGAGTGATATCCCACTCACCGCGGTGAGCACCCCGAGTGGCATGTTATGGGAGTGGCTGGTTATTCCACAAGGGTTGAAGAACGCTCCGGCCACTTTCAATCGCATGGTGTCTCAAGTGTTGAGACCTCTTCGGAACTTTGCCCCAAGTTATTTTGACGACATTTTCGTCCACAGTCGCGCTGAGGGCAACCTCAGCGATGTCCAAGTTCACCTTCAACACCTGAAGCAAGTGTTTCAAGTTATGCGGGACAACAACTTGTACGCGAATTTAAAGGAGTGTGTCTTTTGTGCACCAGAGTTTTCGGTGCTGGGTTGCTATGTGAGTAAATCGGAAGCTCGAGCTGATCCAGAGAAGGTGTCGTCCATCTGTTTTTGGCCCACACCCAAGGTCCCTACGGAGTTGCGCCAGTATCTCGGCTTGGCTAATTATTTGCACAAGTATACGAAGGATTATGCTGGTTCTATCCAGCCTTTGTCGTCACTCTTGAAGAAAGACGCCACGTGGTTGTGGCGTCCCAAGCACCAAGCAGCCTTCGAAGCAGTTAAGAAGAGCCTAGCGTCAGCGCCAGTGCTGGTCCTATTGGACGGCCTTAAAGTGTTCCACTTGGTTTGCGGTGCCAGTGATTTTGCAATCGGATGCAATTTGATGATGAGGGCCGTGAACGAGTCGTGAGTTACCAGTCGCGACAGATGAAGCCAGCTGAGAAGAACTATCCGGTTCACGACAAGGAGTTATCATCGATGCGCTATGCAATCATCAAGTTGTTCATGCATCTGCTTGGTGAACGTACATTTGCTTTGTACCGACCATGCATCGCTGCGCACAGCGATGAAGAGCCCACCCTGTCCCAACGGATGGCACGATGGCTCTCATTCTTCTCTTAGTACAACTTCGTCGTACATTACAAGCCAGGAAAGACTAATATTCTCGCTGATGCTCTGTCACGACGTTCAGACTACGATCCTCGGACTGCTCTGAGTCGTCAGGCTACTGATGACGATGACCGATGTGCTATGTGTGTATCGCTGAATCTAACTTGGGTTACACCCGAGCTGTGTTTATTTGATGAGATCGTCGCAGCGTACAAGGGAGATTCAGATTTATGCAGAAATTATCGAGTATCTGCGTGCTTCCAGCGATGCTGCACTGGGAGCCTTATCCCGAACCAAGCGCGACCATATTCATCGATACAGTTTAGATGGCGATTTGCTTCTGTATAGCATCGACCAATTCGATGCATATCGCACGGTAATTGCCAACGACATGGATTTGCGTGCAAGAATCATTCACGAGTATCACGATGCTCCTGCTGGCGGCCATTTAGGCCGCGAAAAGACTTTTACGCCTGCGTCTCGAGACTTCTTCTGGCCCCACATGTATAAGTGTGTACGCAACTGGATCCGAACGTGCGAAATATGCCAGCGTGTGAAGCCATCTCCATCGTCACAGGCTCCCTTGCGATCGTTGCCAATTGCAGCAGAGGCCTGGAGATCAGTTTCGATGGACTTTATCTTCGGGCTTGCGCCCGATAGCCAAGCTCGAACGGGCATTTTGGTCTTTGTTGACAGATTCAGCAAGATGACACATCTCGTGCCTGTCCACGCCAAGGTAACCGCGGCAGAGACCGCGGCGCACTTCATCGACGCAGTGTTCCGTCATCACATCATGGCCTTCCAGAAAATATTGTTTCGGACTGTGATCTGCGAATCACGTCCGCATTTTGGACGTCACTGTTCAAGCTCCACGGGACAAAACTGCTGATGTCGACTGCGGCCCATCCGGAAACGGATGGGCAAATCGAGCGCGTGAATCGGGTCCTCGAAGACGTTTTTCGAAGTTACGCTACGTTATTCTGCATTTTTACCACTCGCTGAGTTCGCACTCAACAACGCCGTACACGCGTCAACAGGGTTGACGCCATTTTTTGTGAATTCGGCTCGTCACCCTCGTGTTCCTACTGTCCTGGCCGTGGGGCGACCCACAACACCTAGTGGCTCCACTCTGGGGGGGGATAAAGTTGATAAACAAGGATCGAGTGCATCTCACGGTATTTTGAGCGCTAATACAGTAACCCGATCCAAGGCAAAGACGGCCACTTTGACGCCATCAGACTTGGCGTCCCCATTAGCTCGATGGACTGCGCAGACATTGATTGACCCGTCTTCGGGTAAGCGTTCACCTACTGCCAACTACGCGCCAATTGAGTCGGCGCGACCAATTAATGACATGGCTGTGTCGGACTTTATACTCCAACGTCAAGCCATCACCCGGTTTGTACGCGACGCACTACAATCTGCGGTAGACCAACAGAAGGAGAACGCTGACAAACATGGCAGAAAGAACATGAGCAGGTTTGAGAAAGGTGACCGTGTATTATTATCTACAGAAGGTCTAAGGGATTTAGCGATCACTAAACTGGGCGCGAGTAGACTCGCGCCACGCTTCATCGGTCCATTCAAGGTTCTGAAGGCAATTGGCGACGCTTATACACTCGACGTCCCCTCTTCATTTCGACTCCACCCGACATTCTATGTCGGGCGGCTGAAGGAATATCGTCCGGCTACGCTTCACGGTTTGGCTCCGACGCCGGCTTCAGGGGTTCGTAAGTCGAACGGCCTTCCCTTCGTGCTCGACGCGCCGATGACATGGGACGGGGTCTCGATCCCGTCTGAACCTGACCAAGCATCTGGCGCTCCAGAATCCTTATCCGCTCGAGCAGTTCACGGTTCGACTGTCTGTTCTTACTCGAAGTCTTCTCCGCCCGGGCAGCACGTTCACTGGCAGCCTCAGCCTCCAGCTGAGCATCGGCAGCTATGTTCACGGCCTGATCAACATCGTCCTGAGCAACCAGGACGCCAGCACTACCATCGCGAGGGCCCTCCTCCGCTTGTTGATGCGGAGGGACAGGTGCGCTGGATTGTAGACCGCATTGTGGGTCACGAGGACTCTCCACAACCATTACGGCAGTCGGCTCATGAGAAGCGTGCGGTTCCATCCGTGCGTAGGTACCAAGTACGTTGGCTTGGATTCCCTCCCCGAGCAGGATACATGGGAACCACGTTCCTCGCTCCTTCGTGACGTTCCAGATGTGGTTCTGTCGTATGAATCCACGAAGTCGGACTATTCCAAGGCGGGCGAGCACGCGAACGCTCTCGTGACAAACGAGAGCGGTAAGGAGGTCCACGTCGTCGAGAGCGGGAACGAAGACGCGAACGAGAACGACGCCGTGAACGAGAACGCCGCGGTGAATACATATCACGATTGCGAGGCGAGAATCTCGAAGCAGGACGGACAAGCGAACGTGTCGCTGCCCTGCGCAGATTATTCCGCGGAAAGTGACTCCGCTGTCGCGAGTGGTGCTGCCAGCGAGGCGCACCACGAATAACTGCGCTTCTCCGTTCGCTCAGACTTCGCTCATACTTTGCAATCCAACTTCGTTCGCGATCGCTGAGTGGACAGCGATGTGTCGTCGCCATTCGTCATGAGTTGGGCGTGGAGTCGAGTCACAAGATTGGCATCCTTCATTGACATGAACGAAGCAGAAGCGGTCCTCATTCCAAGCATCCTCACACACTCTTTCGCGTAGCGTGCCGATGGAGTTATCGGCGCGAAGCTCCTCTAGATTGGCGAGCCATAATTGGAAGCTGCTACCATCCTCGAGCATCCGATTCCAACGTTGGATGAAGGCACACCAAGAACGTTGTAGAGCTTCATGCTCGATTCCATCAAGACCTTTCCCGCGCAGTTTTCAAAATCGGCGGAAGTAGTCCCGCATCGTGTCCAGTGAGTCCGGAGCGTGAGCTCCGGAAAAGTCGTACAGTGACCAAGGTGTGAGTTGCCGCGTCATGATGCTGGTTATTCACTCCCGCTGATGGTACTTGGGAGTGCTGCAGGATTGGTTGTTGGGTCTTCGGACATTGCTTGTTCGTTTGTGAGCGATGGGGTTTCGACAGTTAAGTACTTACGGTTGGTGAGTGCTGTCTTGAGAAGGGAGTGATGTAATGGGCTACATTACACATATAGTATTAACATAATAAAAAATTACATATGTAGGCAGGTGCTCGGCCCGAATGGAGGGCACAGCGTGGTAAATTATCATTGGTTTATTATTGGGCCTAAAGTCCCAATATGGACCAATGTCAAATTAACCTGAAATTGTGTGGTTCCCGAAAGGCGGGAACACTGTCGTATTTATTACGACTAAAATCTTCGTAATTAGTACGAATTAAAACATAAATAAAAATCAGAGTTAGATTTACTTAACAGCTAATACTTGGGCTTGAGTCTTCCTCAAGCGCACATGTGAGCTAGTGACGATACCCCGTTACAGTTGAAGATCATGTCATGATCCGTATTGATAAGAAAGATCGCGAAAACAAGCAGCGCCAAGTCGCAACTGGACCCTACGCTATCACTGAGGTGCATGACAACGGCACCGTGACGCTTGACTTCGGAGTCACGCAACAACGGATAGACATCCGCTGACTCTTTCCGTGTTAAAGCTGTCGAGCATCCAGCATGGGGGCGAGTGACAAGATTGTCGAAGATTCTAGATACTACTGTCTGCTCGTACGCAAGAAAGTGACGCCAAGACAGTGGTCATAAACCTGGCGACAACTGTGGACCCTCAAGGTTGGATCTGGGGTATCGTATGCCCACAGACGATACCCCAGATCCAACCTTGAGGCTATGTTGATTAGTGTAGGAAAACATGATGACTCGAGATGAGCTAGCAAAGCAGTCTAACAAAATATATTCGCTTCTCATTTTATCTCGAGGTCAGCCAACGGGAACACTCCTCTGCAAGCCACGAGCGTGTCACTTTGACCATTTTCAAAGTGACATGCTCGTGGCTTACAAATGGCCAGGCCAACTCGTTGTTATCTGACACAAGCATAGCGGCATCTATTGCCATTTCAACTTCTCCTATCCAGAGGAGAAGATTTTCTTCCTCTCATAACAAAAGTTTTAACGTTTTAGAACGAGTGGGCGAGCCTAAGGCTATGCATCGGGCACAGGTACCGGGATATACTGCGTAGGCGCAGCTGATGCTGCCTGGTCGTGGACCTGCCCGAGTAGTGATGCCTCATAACGCATAAAGGCCTCAACGCAAGCATTGAGGACCTCCGGGCCTTGGACCAAAAGAGCATCGATCTGATCGGGACCAACGAACGCAGATAATGTATCGAGTGCGAGTCGTTGCGCCTCAAAGAGGTGATTTTGATTCTCCATTCTCACAGAGGGTCAGTCTTTAAAGACTCAGGTGTAGGATTGCCTACGAGTGCTACCAAGTGTAGCGGAGCTGCACAGCTCATAAGTCAGAGGGAGACGTTCAGGCTGGAAACCTCTTAGTTCTAGAGAACTAAATAGAGTCAAGGCTAAAAGCCACTTAGTTTTAAGGAGCTAATTAAACGACTTAAAGTCACCCTGTTCTAAGGAATGAGGAAAGAGACTTTTAGTCAATAAAGCAATATGCTTAAGGTTCAGAGAACCAACGCACAGAGTGAAAGAACAAGCTAGAAGCTTAGGGGTTCAGAGAACCAACGCACGAAGTGCACAAGAGAGCAAGTCAGAACGACTTGCGATCTTAAACTCAAAAGGAGAACTGATTATATTTATGCTTTAAGATTTTATGAATAGTCCTACTCTAAGTACACTACACTAGATTAATTACTATAATAGTAATTATTATATGCAGACTTTGCTATTGGACGACGTATCGTCTAAACATCTGTGTATGATGTACTTAATACAGCGTTAGTGATTTATCGAATCCCAATCGATAAGATACGGTATTACCGAATACCGTATTATAACGCTTATACTTAATACCTCTCTAAAGAGAAGTATCAGAATGCATTATACGAACTTCAACCGTAAACTTTCGGTATGATGTTCCAAACGTCGTGTAACCCCGTTACAAAATGAGCAAACGCTATATAAACGCTTCACCAATGTATCTTGTAAACAAAGAAAAAAGTCGTGGTTTGTGCGCTAGATAGATTCTGATGTTCTTCTTCAACTAGATAACCGCCGTATGGACACAGTTGAGCCTTTGATGATGACTCAGGAGGTGGCCCAATGTTGCCCGACGCTTCTAACTTGTGATTAGGAAGACAACGAGGGATACAAAGTGGGCGCTGAGATCTCCATATTGGGCGATGCGTTAGTGCAGAGCTAATCTTCAATGAGGTTTAAGGCGAAATGGCTGTCATCCTGTGCGATTTATAAAAATATGGCACCACTAAACAATAACTTTAACTTGATATGGCTGCTTTTCCATTATCTCGTTGCAGCATCATTAGTTGCATACAACTTTTTATCCTTAATTCACGCAGATCACGTAAATGGCGTGAATAATCCCAGGAATGTAGCTGGGTAATTGCCAGTCATTGAAAAAGATCAGCCTTCTCAACGCGAAATCAATTTACCTTCAACTGCGCCACGTACCCAAAAAGCGTAAGCAACCCGTTGATAGCTAGGTCTTTGTTGCAACCAGTTTGCAAGAACACACCGAGAGGTGGTAGCAACACGGCGCAAATCAAGCGCGCAGTTTTGTCCCAGTCAAAGTCCGACGCGCTCGAGGACGAGCGTCGCTCATCACCTTCGAACCAATCGTCGGCATCGTCCATCACGTGGCCCATAATTATTGTTCAATACCTTCGTGTGAAGTGTTTGCGAAAATTTGATCAGTGCAGCAATTTCTCGTCGACCTATTGACGTGAAGCGACTAACAGGGGGAAGACAAAATCGAAAGAAAATATAATAACGGTCCAAACCTCTCTGTATTGATTTTTATAATACGAGAGGCTTTGTATCTAACGGTTTCCCTTCTCTCTCAATCCAACTGCTAAAACAATATAGTTGCCGCAAAATGTCTTTAGTAGGCAACAATTGCCAGAAGGAATTGCTGATTTCAAGCTGGTGTTGCCTCCAAGATCTCTGTAATGTCAGGCCGTTTAATTTTTTTGATTCACGTCAAATATTGAGAATAACTGTAAGTGACACTGGCTGCTGAGTGAGACGTCACCATGCTGATGGTGGGTCGTGGTTTTTCCGTGGTGACGCCTACGCTTCGTCGTACAATGAATATAAAATTCGACTAAGATCCAATACCGCCTGGACAGCGCAATTGACGTATACAATCGAGCGGTTTAAATACGCCTCTCAAAAATTATTTTTTACGCAAAGATAGCGTCGCCAGCTGTGTTGGTGAACATGAAGACTGTGTCAAATCCTGCGACCATCTCTATCTGCAACAATCTTTTCATGCAAAGATCTTATGCTTTCGACTACGCTCGTCAATGAGCGCCTGTTGCTACTGAAGCTCTAATCTTGAGCTTGAAGTAGAAGAAATGGTATTCTTAAGCCATGATCTGGCCGTTAAGCTACGCGTACATCGAATTGCCGACTACATGCTTTACGTTAAAAGGCACAGAGACGACAAAGACGCTGGATGCAATAACGTATGCACGATATAGCACGTTGCCCTGGATTGTCTATATCGACGTCACGCGCACTTTAATTTTGCTTATCTGCGCCAATGTGATTGTTGTTTTTTGAGACAGTCCCTAGCGAAAAAGCCAAAGCAGCCATGACCAAAGACAATAGAAATCACCTTTGTGCTTGTCACTGTCATCATCCACAGCAGTGATAGATTCGTTCGATTCTAGTTTGGCTTGCACAGCTTTATTTTGTATTCATGTTCTAAGCCGCAGCACCAACTGTTCATTCTCCTGCTCTTTCTCACGTTCAGCGCTTTGCTCTTCCTCGCGTCGCTGTACTGTGACTCCTTCAATCTACTTGTATCGCCATACTGTAGCAGTCAGGATCAAGGTGTAGAGATGCAAAAGAACGATGTAATAAGAGATAAAGTACTTTCGCTTGCCGCTTGCCGAGACCAGCTTTTTTTTGTTTGACATTATGACAATGTCATGCGAGGGAAAGGCACTTTTCGATGGTTTCAATTAGCCTTCAACATAATTGGCTCCACATGATAATTGTTTCAATGTCAAAGCACATTTTACAAGTATATACGTATATAGCGATGCTGTCCTCTAGATGTTGCATTTGAAACAGCTAGCTTTCATACGTACGATGTAAGCATAGCCACCACTTGCTTATGAAATGGTACGAAATTGTTTCGCTCAAATTTTTACAGCTTCTTATTTGCAAAAGTTAACACAATCGAAAAATACACGATAAAAAAGAGTAAAGTACTCAGATGACCACAGGAGTGCTTTACTTGACTGAAATGGAGGACATATCAACGTCCAAGTTCCAATGTATTAATAATAAATTGCCTTACATCTTAACAAACATAGTATATGTCGGCACGGAGTTCCATGCCACGCTCATTCCAAAAAGTCTTGTCATACAATTCTCTTCGTTCTTTACAAAGCCTAATTTTCTTGCGAAGCGTTGTGGTGAGAACAAAAGTAGTTGTGCTTCTGATACGAGCGGCGGTTACAACCGTCAACCTTGCAGCGTATGCCGCCCCCATGGGCCCAACAAAAGCCACCAGGCGCCGCTACCTTAGAGCAGCCAGGGGATTCGCAGATATGGCCACCGCCGTGTGACCAGCAGTAGCCGTACCGCTTGGCCTTGCTACTACAGCCCATTATCTTGCAGAGCTTGAAGCCGCCGTGATGGAAGCAGCGGTTGTACAGTCGGGCACCGTGCGTGCAATTCGGGTATGTGCAGCGATAACCGCCGCCGTGACGCACGCAGCGTCCTCTCGAGACGGCGACACGGTGGCAGTCGTTCTTTGAGCAGATGGAGGACTTGAACACACGCATTTTACCGTGGTGTCTACTGAAGCACAGCAGTGGCTCTGCTCGCTTTTCCATGACGGTATAGCCTGCAAGCAAAATATAATCACCAATATGTAGATCAATGAGTTGCGTGCCACCCTCGTTTTCATGCAATTCGATGTCATTGTTGGTGACTGAGTCTGACATGCCCATGTTCGCCTTGTTGAGTGAGGACGTGATTTGAGACACGAAGGCACCGCTACTGCCGAGTGAGGGCGTATGCAGTGGCGAGGGGTTCAAGATAAAGGCTAGCGCCGTCTTGTTTTCATCTTTACGAAACATCGGCAAATGGCGAAGCTTTGGTGTTTCAGTCGCTCGAACGAGTGTAGCGGGCTGCTTCAATCGAGAAATGGCAGACTTGATCTACACCGTTGTCCCACGCAGTGGTCGTCGAGGATTGGCTCGAGTGAAGCGTGACGCTCACTCACGCACCGGACGAAGTGGGATGGGGCGCGTGACGTCTCGCTCTGTGTGATGCTCCCCCTTTCTAACGCAGGTGGGGCTTGCCTATCACTGCTAAAATGGATACTTCGGTGTGAATGACGTTGTTATTGTCTGTCTGTGGCAATGCAATGCAGTAAGCTCACATGTGAGATTGAATGTTAAATTCGTTTCATTCAAGATGACACGTAGAGACTACTTCGCTGTGTTTTGTATTGCTACAGAAACTACTTTGTTGTTCATCACGAGACACACTCGCTCAAGCTTTAGTTGCAAGTACTGCTTTATTAATGAAGCACCTTCTCGGTGACATCGACTCCCTCCTCGCAGCATCTACGTTTGTTTTTAAGAACTGGTACGAACAAAGCCCAAACAGCAGTGTGACGCGCCAGGACTTTCTTTGACTAAAAGCACCAACCCGTCCACCCGTCCTCCGTCGTGCAGCAAACCCCAATTTTTGGTTATAATTGCTGCATGTGGCAGTTTTACTTTCGGATCCGTTTCTTAAAGATTCTCATTACGCGGCGGATCCATTTTGCAAGTGTAAGGTCATTATTGCTTAGTGAACTAACAGAAGGAATCTTTGTTGCACTTGCCATACATATATGTTTATCTACTGCATCACTCTTCGCAAGTACTTTACGAACCGTAATGTTGCGTAAGCTGCTGCCACCTTTAATGATGTTACAAAGTTCTCAGGCTGCTTGAATGCTGATGAGCAAGTAAGGGCAGAAATTGACCGGTGCAACCCGCCGATGGGGGTATAATCGAGCACGGCGCGTCATCATGCTTCCCTCTAAAATCAGCGCGTAGCTTTCTTCGACGAATAGAAGCGGCTAATTTCAGCAGCCAGTATAGGACGCCGTGACATCGCTGGGCATCTTCATGATGGAGTATCCTGTGACTAACAGAGTGACGGCCCTAAGAATTAGAGACAATCAACGCGCTCTACTCATATTGTCTTCATATCTTCTTTGCTATCATAACGTTTGGCTGCAAGTTTCACTAGAACTTTTGACGTCTAAGTTCGTCGCTTTGGATACTTGAATCTACATAAATAGGTACTGGCAAGTTATACGTTGTAGCACGCATGAGCCTTGCAGTAATAGCCGTACTTCTGGTACGAACGCTTGCTGCAGCTCTCGAGCTTACAGCGGTTGCCGCCGCCGTGGGCCCAGCAGGAGCCGCCCTGGGCCGCCACCTTAAGGCAGCCCTCGGCGCTACAGATAAGTCCGCCGCCATGCGACCAGCAGTAGCCGTAGCGCTTGGCTTTGCTGTTACAGCCCGAGGCCTGACAGATGGCACAACCACCGTGTTGGAAGCAGCGACTACGGAGCTTGGCACCATTGGTGCAGCCCTCATAGGTGCAACGCGAGCCGCCACCGTGTCGTACGCATCTCCTGCGCGACACCACCAGACTGGGGCAGCCCTTTTCATTGCACTTGCGTGTCCTCTTCTTGTGCGACAAAAATGACAAAAACTTCTTGGGACTGTCAAGGTATGACTTCTCTTTCTCGAAGTTCATAGCCGTCGACACGTTAATCGGAGAGGAGACGGTTGCCGATCGGGTGAAGATCGACGGCAGTACCAATTGGCAAGGCAGAGACATGACCGGACTAGGCAGTTGGTGGGTGTCGCATCTGTGGTGTAGATTAGACGTGTGTGGATAGTAAAGCAGTGCATGCTCTTCATTCCAGCCCGACACGGAGTTTGGCGAGATCGATGTCCAGATTGGAGATTTAGAAAGTAACGTATCGGTTAGCGGTTCGTGTTGAGGGGTCTCCATGGGGTTCAGGATAAAGTCCAACTGACTCTTGGTTATCATTTTTTACTAATGCTTGAAGACTTGTGTCAAAGGATGCAAATTAAAATGTAGTGGATGGATCACTCAAGAAGTTAAGATTCATGGAGGCTGACGTGCGAGACCCAATAAGATCCACGGGCGTCGAGCTTAATGCAAACATGGAATGAATAAAATAGCGCCGGAACGCCACTTTAAGCAAATCCCCACGTCATTGGTGCGTCTGTGGTCTGTCCTAGCTACTCACGTACTGTAGAACTGTCGACGTGGACGATTTAACCTGAATGCAGCCAATTAAATCGCTTACAATCAACAACTGAGACCAGTCTATGCAGAAACCGCCCTCCAACACCAGAATGTAACGGCGCCAAGCGCGACGCGGCATGAGTGTGGTTTATACGCATTTAAATTTCATGTAACTCACTAGCTCACGCGTCAGAAGAGGCCCGTATCTTATAAAGATTTCCTGGATGACGTGATTGACATCCTGCGTGTGTTAGGCCTCACAATTTTCTAGAGCGCAACCTTTCTTGGCACACAAATTTGATGTGCCAATTGTGCAGTGCATACAAATTGAGCGCCTCAGCATCCACTGCACGACATTGCGTAGCCAAAAGGGTTCAGCCCACAAAGCATACAATTTTAGCGGATGGTACCAGCAACGGATTCGCATGCTGATGCACTGGCCGGTTACTGAGCTCAAATTCATCGGGCAGAGATGTCGACAATGCAGCTGCGTTGGTCAAGCAAGATACAAGTAAGAATTAAGAATTTCTGGTTTTAAGTTGGTTCTCGGCACATCTAGGTCTTCCTTCAACTTCGTGAATACTAATCACAGCAAGAGTTGCTGATGAGGTTTGTTGGCCGCCAACCGATAGGACAATCGCACCACGTTTGAATTTGTATCTCTTCGACACTTAATTCAAGCTAGGCGAAGTCGCCTGGTTGGCCCGACCATAGTCGATTTTTTTTTGCAGTCACGTCAAAATAGGTCGCAAGATAGGCTCTACTTGCTGTGGCGCGTTGAACAACGCAATGCCGACGGTGACGCTTTCCTCCCGCTGCGCTACTGACAGTGCGTCGTCACGATTTAATGATATCTTGCTCTTATCCTGCACCGTAAAAAAGCGACTCGACCAAACCTTAGAAATTACGAGGCTAATGGAGTAAGCACCCCTTTTCTATGGTATTCCTTCTCTATTCTGTCAGATCGTCTCTTTACATGGTGTAAACTGCATGCAAGATCACTGGAAAGTCGTGAGTGGTTACACGACGGTTGTAGCGTCTTTCCGAGAGTTTACGCTTAAACTCTCCTTTCTATTGCATATAATGCATTATTATACTTCTCTTTAGAGAGGTATTAAGTATGAGCGTTATAATACGGTATTCGGTAATACCGTATCTTATCGATTGGGATTCGATAAATCACTAACGCTGTATTAAGTACATCATACACAGATGTTTAGACGATACGTCGTCCAATAGCAAAGTCTGCATATAATAATTACTATTATAGTAATTAATCTAGTGTAGTGTACTTAGAGTAGGACTATTCATAAAATCTTAAAGCATAAATATAATCAGTTCTCCTTTTGAGTTTAAGATCGCAAGTCGTTCTGACTTGCTCTCTTGTGCACTTCGTGCGTTGGTTCTCTGAACCCCTAAGCTTCTAGCTTGTTCTTGCACTCTGTGCGTTGGTTCTCTGAACCTTAAGCATATTGCTTGATTGACTAAAAGTCTCTTTCCTAGTTCCTTAGAACAGGGTGACTTTAAGTCGTTTAATTAGTTCCTTAGAACTAAGTGGCTTTTAGCCTTCACTCTATTTAGTTCTCTAGAACTAAGAGGCTTCCAGCCGAAAGTCTTCCTCTGGCTAAAGAGCTGTGCAGCTCCGCTACACTTGGTAGCACTCGTAGTCAATCCTACACCTGAGTCTTTAAAGACTGACCCTCTGTGAGAATGGAGAATCAAAATCACCTCTCTGAGGCACAACGACTCGCCTTAGATAAACTATCTGCGTTCGTCGGGCCTGATCAAATCGAGGCCCTTTTGGCCCAAGGCCCCGAGGTTCTAAATGCTCGCCTTGAGGCCTTTATGCGTTATGAGGCAACGCTCCTCGGGCAGGTCCATGACCAGGCAGCGTCAGCTGCGCCTACACAGTACATTCCGGTACCTGTGCCCGATGCAGAGCCAAAGGCTCGTCCACTTGTTTTAAATGTAAAGACCTTCGAGGGGAAGGAGGGAGAGAACCTTCTCCTCTGGATCCGAGAAGTTGAAATGGCAATGGATGCCGCCATGCTTGTATCCGATAAGCAACGAGTTGGCTTGGCCATTTCTAAGCTCGGTGGAAGAGCTAGAGAGTGGGCTCTAACGAGCGATGTCTCTGTAAATGCTGCATTTCCCACATGGGAAATGCTTAAAAAGCAATTAACTTGTGTGTTTGCACCGCCTAATCAGGCTTATCGTGTGCGCTCACGCTTCCTAGCTACCCGACAGGGTAAGAAAGAATTGTCGGACTATGTCCAAGAGTTGAGAACTCTCATTGCTGCTATGCAGCAGGACCCACTGGCAGAGGAAGTCCGAGTAACCATTTTTATGGAAGGACTTCGCACTGGGGTCGCCAGGACGGAAGTTTTCCGTGTCCAGCCTTCAACTTTTGAGGAGGCAGTAAGCGTAGCGTTTAACGCTGAATTTAATTTTAAATCTGCTCGATATGGTCTGCCCTGGTATCAATCAAATACCTCTAATAGGGCGGAACCCATGGATCTCAGCCATGCTGAAGAAGCTGAGCTTCAAGCTGCTGAGCAGCAAGGTAACATCCGTAGATGTTACATGTGCGGAAGCACTAGGCATCTCCGCCCTAGCTGTCCGTTGCGAAAGCAACGTTCAAATCGGCAAAGCCGAAACCCTGCTCCTAGCCAAAAGGCGAGCACCGCAGGGGAAAACGTCAACTCCCAGTAGGCGCGGGGCGCCCTACTGGGAAAGAACTAAGTTCTGTTGAATCTTTAGGAGGTAAAGGTAAACAGGGCTTAGCCCCAGGTGGTTCTGTGGATGCTCCCATAGAACAAAATTACAAGCCAGGCTTGTTGGTTGTGTCGGCAACCGTTAAGGGTTTTGAGAAACCATGGTCAATTTTAATTGACTCAGGGGCGTCAGGGAATTATGTCCGACGTCGCTCCCTTGAAGGGAGTCAGCTGTATGCTGAGGCGCTAGAAGCGCAAGAGGGTGACAGTATAACCGTACGTCTCGCGACCGGTGTACGTGTCACCGTTCCTAAAGTTCCGTTGAACTTAGGTGTGAAGTTCTTAGACTTCAATAGCGTTGAACGCTGTCTTGTCCTAGATTTGGACTCGAGATATGATCTCATTCTCGGTATGGCCTGGCTGGAACGCCATGAGCCGTGGATCGATTGGAGATCCAAAACTTTAGGCGCAACGCGCAATGTTCCTAGCGAAGCTTTGGAGAGTCATGAACCCACCTTCGCTAGAAAACAAAAGTGCTATTGGCGCGAGCCATTAACTGATTCAGTTAGTGTGCTGGACATTGGAGTGTCTGAGTTGATAAACTCCGATGTCAACAATAATAGTGTCGAGCAGAGCTCAATGACACTTAGTGGAACGGCACGTACTCCGTTGAGTGATACTCAAAGTAATATTGAGACACTGGATGTCGGTAATGACATCGGCTCTCGTATAGAGCAAGTTAAGGTCGATGACCTTGTTAGTAATATTGGCTGTAAATGCGATTTACTGGATGTCGGTAATGACATCGGCTCTCGTATAGAGCAAGTGAAGGTCGATGACCTTGTTAGTGATATTGGCTGTAAATGCGATTCACTGGATGTCGATAATGACATCGGCTCTCGTATAGAGCAAGTGAAGGTCGATGACCTTGTTAGTGAGCCTGAGCAGTGAAGGTCGATGACCTTGTTAGTGAAGTCACTGGTACTAGTGACCCACTGGGTGTCGGTAATGACATCGGCCCTCGCATAGGGCAAGTAAACGACAAGGGGTCTGTTGACCTTGGGGATGATAATATCCCAAGTACTTTGAAGAGTACGGTCTCGTCAATGAGACGGCAGCGTCGCCAGATGGCGGCTGCGAGACGCAAAGCGTCTGTTTTATCGCATAGTAATGTCAATGACCAGTTGTACACCCTGGTCAACGGAGTGACAGGTGATGTAGATGGTGAGGTTGACCTTGAGGCCCTCCCATCATTAAATGCTCTTTTAGAGCTAGACGAAATGTCTGTGGATGAATTTCATCAGGCCTTGAAGGCAGGTGCTCTATCCGATATGGTGGTCATTCGACCTAACCTCGAGTTGAACTCATCCTCGCTTGTCGATGAGACAGTCCTTGAAGATACCAAAGCGGCACTAAGTGCACGTAGTGGGGCATCTATTCTGAAAAACCCTTCAGATCCCTACTATCCTTTGGTAAAGGAATTCCAGGACGTGGTGTGTCACGATCCACCGTCGGTTCTACCACCTGATAGGGGCGTACGTCATGAAATTGACTTGGTTCCCGGAACCAAATACTGTGTAACACGGCAGTGGCCTTTACCCAAAGAACAGTGTGACGTCATTGACGAGTTCTTTCGTGCAAAGCACGCGGCGGGCATGGTGCGTGAGAGTAAATCCCCGCACTCGACACCCACTTTCTGTGTTAAGAAACCAAATGGTAAATGGCGTATCGTTCATGCTTATAATAAGCTCAATGCGGCCACTATACCTGCACAGACACCGATACCTAGAAAGGATGTTCTTCAGAACAATATGGTCGGTTGTACCATGTACAGTGCGCTCGACTTAGTCGATGGTTATTACCAATTGCTCATGCGAGCTAGCGATATTCCGCTTACTGCTGTTAGTACTCCGAGCGGTATGCTCTGGGAGTGGTTAGTGATGCCCCAGGGGCTATCTAATGCTCCGGCTACGTTTAACCGGTTGGTGACGCAATTGTTTCGACCCCATCGAAGTTATGCACAGACGTACTTTGATGACATTTTTGTCCATAGCCGAGCTGAAC